ATTCCTGCTTCTCCTCTATCACACCTTCTTTTATCCATCCCAGGCCAGCCTGGCAGCTTGGAGAACAGACATGGCAACATTTACACATTTCCTTCCCTGGTCCTTTACAAGAACCCTTTCTCTAGGAGAGCAAGGCAGGAGTGAAACCAAACGCCCGGTTCCTTACATCAGTCCCTTTCAGTACCTTCTCTTCCAGTGACCATGGTCAGTGTCTGCTGCAGGACAACCCTCATAAAGTAATTTTGTCAACTTGTTCCTGGATGTCTTTGGATACAGCAGTTGCCATTTCTTGATATCTGGGATAGGGTTGCTGGATACAAAAAGATTATTTGAAAGTCCAAAGAGAAAAAAACAGCACTCATGAGTTACTATTTTAATGGAAGACTCACCGGAGGGGTTTTTCAGTTTCATTCGTGATCTCTCCCACTAGAGGGTACTCTGCCATTATGAAAGAAACGCTCTGCTCTGAGGCTGCACCGTGACACAAGCTGGTAGAAAGGCTTTTGCAGATACACGGGAGGGACATTTTTAACATACCTCGTGTAATGATACTGGGAGCTGGAGGGGAAGCTTTACAGCTCGAACCCTTAAAAACATAACTCTATTTGTAATACCAATCTTGGTGAAGTTCCCTAGGCCTTGCTGCATCAGCAGCACAGATCCTCCCGCCCGATTACTTGTAAAATGTCAAAGGGTGTCCTGGGACATGTCACCTACTCACCGGCTTGTCTGGCTTGATCCTTGCTGGTGTTCATATGCTCACCCGCGCCCACTCCAGGGACACAGGGGCTCTGACCCTGGGCCATGCTGGTGGCTGGCACTTGGCTTCTCTCACTTGGATCTCCCCAGTCGCTGGCACTTGGGCATACACACGCCTGCTGGCCCGTGGTCCTGGCCCAGCTCCTGGCACCAGGCCCCCATACACCCTCGTACACCGGCTAGGGAGTCCCTCAGCCAGGAAAAGGGTTAGAAATGGAGTTTATTGAGAAGACAAGACAGCCCCTGGTGACCAGGCACTGGGCACAGCCAGACAAATGTACTGACCACTATCCTGCATAGGTGTGGCCAGACTCTTTTGTCCCTTTATCCCTCCATTTTCCCAGGCTTTTTAACCCCCAAATACCCTTGATTCCTTCCTTTCTCACCTTTGGTTCCTCCCCTAAGCATCCCATAATAGGTCCTGTGCAATCCCCAAATGCTCTTCGCTTGCATCCCATCATGTGCCCACACCCCTTTAGGCAGTGACCCCCCCTCAGATTGAAAGATGCTCCACTGATGACTCATCTGGATGGGCTTCACACCCAGACCCTGGGGCTGAGGATCTCCCGGGACATCCCTGGGAGGGGCCTAGGCAAGGTGCTCCTTCCTCTGAGTCTTTAGTTTGGGCTGCCCACCTGTTTTTGGGGCCCTGCGCTCCTCCGGGCTTGCAGAGGCGGGCCTTTAGAGGGCTGATGTCTCTCCTTCTTGCGCTGGGCTGAGGCGCAGCAGGGTGGGGCGTTATTTGGACCCCCTCACCTGCTGCTGTCTCTGTCCTCCTTCAAGGGTGTGCAGCTGAGATCCTTGACACATAACCCAACGGGTCCCCTCTCAAACACACCGTGGATGCTGCTGTTCAGGTTCTCTGCTTCCTCTGAAAACCAGTGCCTGAAATTTATTTTTTCTCTTGGGTTTCTCTTCAGATGTGGCAGCCTTGTGCAAAGCAAGGAGCCTGTTGTCTGCTCCTGCAAAAGACCCATCACAGTGGTGTGGTAACCATGACAAAGCTCTATGTTACCTGGCAGAGAGAATTGACGAGAAGACAAGAGGGCTCCCATTCGCAGCAGAGGACTAGAAAGAGCTTGCAAGGAAAACAGGGAACTCCTGGGAGGTCAGAGGAAAGCGGCTAGTGGGGGTGACTTCCTGCTGTGGTTGCTTACTGGTTTTGTCTGTGGATGCCACCAGCACTCCAGAGCACCTTCATGTCTGTGTGACCAGCAGGGCAGACTTTTCTGGGGAAACTTCTGCGTGAGGATGCTGGTCACAGCATCTGAGCTCTGCAGCGCTCCCTTGCCTTTGTCTGAAAGGGACATTCCATCTGCCCTCCTGGGCATTTCCAGTACCTTTCCATGCCTTTCCACTTAGCTGTTGACTAACTTTTCTCCTTCACCCTTCAGGCCTTCTCCAGCATTGCTACAGGTTAGATGGGGCATGTATGGTGTCACCTGCCCAGAGTGGCTGTCCCATGCAGCAAAGACAGGGCAGCAGGAGTGGACCTCACCTCTCAATGGAAGCATTTTATCACATTCCTGGTAAGTGTTTTGAAGGATGTGAATAATTATTGAAAGCCTCGGGCACTTGCATTACCTCATTTTGATAAACAATCTGCTGGTCTTTCAGCGTGTGCAGGCTCATGGCTTTCTCACTTAGGTCTTGCTGTAAGCTTTTCTCCTTTGCAGGTGTTCTGGGTGCAATACATCTCTTCAGTCTGAAAAAAAAATCCAAACCAAAACAAAACACTAACTAGTCAAATGCTTAGAAACCTCCTGGCATTTAGACTGAATCTTGTTATTTTAAAGATGCAGTTACCACCTGGATAAGTTTCCAGGGCAGGTACATAAAAAATCCAACAGGAAACAGAAAGGCAGATTGCAAGGTGAACACAAGCAAGCCATGTAATTTGCAAGAAAATAAAAGTTATTCTTACTTTTTCCTTTGTCTGTTGATTAGTCTCATGATGCAATATATCAAGATTGTTAAGAACACCACAGCTATTAAGACTGCCACAACAATTATGCTCTTCTGAACGCCTACAAAAGTAAACCAACAAGATCACAGAGAGCATAAAGGGATGTCAATATGTTTCTCGTGTCGTCTTGCAGAGGTTGGGACTACAGTGAAACATTCATCAGTTTGTGCTTATTTATTCTTTGAAGAAGAGAAATGAACAGGGTAGCAGCATAATGCTGTGGTAGGTGAGGAATGATATTACTTTTTTAAATGAACACTGGTAATGCTCACATTCCTTGGTATTGGTGGAACCAAACCCCAGCATTTTTACTCCTGATCTATTTGTGTTTCTCTTCCTGTATGAAGAAGTTTTATCATGAGGAAAGTCTCCCATCCTTCCTGAGACATACTCTCCTGCAAGATCTTCCACCTGAAATGTTGTTCCCCAGCATTCAACAGCCAGGGTCCTGCTCTGCTGGTACCCTCCAGCTGTGGATACTGCTGGAGAGCTGATCACACGCAGAAATATAAACATACTGGGACAGATATACATATGTACACACAGATCTACATATTTATTAGATATATATGTGCACACACCTACCACACAGAGCACAAAAATACCACAGGAAGGAGTCTTCTCAATGATTTGAAATAATGAAATCACCTAGCATGAGGTCTGAACTCCCAGAATAGTGTCTAATGAGACCTATATAAGCACAAGCTGCACTCCCACAACCGCACATCCTTTCCTAAGTGCTCCCTACTACATGCTGCACTTCTCCATACAAACGTAGCCTACCTTCACTTCCTTTTTCCAGGCAAACTGCCTTCATTTTCCTTCCCTGTGGGTGGTCAAGGAGGCAGGCCAAGGCACGAAGGTGGCTGGAGAAGGTAAGTCTGTTTGCCACTGTTACTGTTCCATTTGCATTTTGGACATGCTGTATTTCAGGGGACCCATCCAGGTCTCTGTCATCCAGCCAGGTGATTTTGGGGGCAGGCTTTCCTGTTGCTGAGCAAACTGCAGTGATGAGACCTTCAGCGGGCACATGGGAATCATATTCCACTGTTAGCTCAGAAATTGCTGAGAGCAAAAAAAGAAGGTACTTGTTACACTTTGTGGTGGTCAAAGCTGGATGGGTCACCCCTCTGTGGGTGGGAGTTCTTATCCCAAAGCATCTCTTATTATTTACCTTCACCTCCTCTGAGGAAGGGTGTGTCAGTTCTGGACACTATCCACCAAGGAGATGCTGCTGCATGGAAAGTCTCCATGCGGTGCAGGGGATAATACCTTACCCACCTCCTGACTACATCAGACCTGTGCTGGGTGCCAGAAAGTGAGAAGATGTTGGTGGAAAACTTACTTTGGATGTTGAGGCATACGTCTTTACTGTAAGAGCCATGAGGGAACACGTTGAAAATGCATCTGTAATGGGACTCATCCTCAAATGTGAGATTTTGGAGTGTGATAGCTGAGGCCTTCAGGGTTGCTATAGTGAAACGTGCCTTCTTCTCAAATGACCCTATCAGCCTCAGCCCATGGTTTGGGCTGTAGGTGGCTATGTTCTGGAAGGAAGACCCATTTCTCTTCTGCCAGGTGACTTGCAAAACATCCATTGAGAGTGAGAAGTTACAATAGAAATTCACCTCTCCACCAAGGGGTGCTGCAATAATGCTGTCAGATTTCACAGCTTCCTCAAAACCTAGGAAAAAAAGCAAACCCCCAAATCAGAGCACAAGGAAAAGCAATTCAGTTGGGGAAGGCTATAGCGCCTTGCAGCATCTAGTCACAATGTTCCCATCCTGCAGAGCGCTGGAGCAAGGAACTCCACCACAAGACTGTGTGGCACAGTGGGAGACCTCAGGCATTTTGGTCTCATGGGTGGCTGTCACATCATTAGCCTTTGCTGTACATTTCCCATGGTGAGGAGGAAGGTGGCATGGGAACAGAGGGTGGGAAGGCTCCTTAGCAAGCCCAGCAAACTCAAGCCCCAGGCCCATCTGCTTGCTTCTTCCCAGTGCATTAATCTCAGCCCACCTTTGTCCCCAGGAGCTCAGAGATCTCCTCTACAGACCCGACACATAGCAGCTACCCAGCAAAAGCAGCTCCTGCTCCTAAGAGCATCCCTTCTCCCCTCTTACCAGCACCTGCAGGGGTGTGGGGGAGGCAGAGCAGCCGGCGCACCCTGCAGCTGGGAGGCAGTGCAAACTGCTGCAGAGGGATATTCCCCTGCCCCAGCTTCTCCCAACAGAAGTGTGCACTGCACAGACATGTGCATTGAAAATGCAAACCTGCGCCATCCCTTAGGTAGAGGGTGTTCACAACACTGACAAAGAAGAGGGAATATGCAGGCTGAATGTACAGTTTAAGTGCAAAGAGAAACCACCTTGTGCCCTTTCTGACCCGCACTTCTCGATTTTGCTGCTGACCAACCCTCAGACTACTAGCTACTGTTCCAGTCATCAATTAGTATTTTTCAGTCAGGATGGCATCTGGGTCTCTCTGCTTGCCAAGAAAAGCTGGTGTTGCTCCCGAGTTAACCCTGTGCAGGGAAAGGACACTCCACTCACCCATCACTGGCTCCTCCAGTTGGCAGCCCCCGCAGAGCAGCAGCAGGCACAGTTCAGCCCAGCAAAGCAGGGGGAAAAGCATCAGGGGACAGAGCATTGCCCAGGAAAGCTTGCCCTCTTTCCTCACATCCCTCAGAGGGCAGCTGGCATGTCCAGGCAGACGGTTGGAGGTTTTTGCGCCTTTTTTTAGAGTGCTCCTTGGACGCCAATCAGCAGAGCTGTGGTGGCAGGGAGTGGCCAGCCAGGCAGGAACTCTCACCGAAGCCTGGTCAATCATTAATCGCACCAAACTGGCTGCGGGTTAGCAGTGTGACTTTGTCCCCCACCAACTGCACTGGTTGCCAGAGCTGGAAATAAACAGTACTCCCTTTTTTTTTTCCCCCAGCAGCAAAGCTTCGTGTTGCCCCTTGTTAGCCCCATACTGCTGAGCTCTGCTACAGGTGCAATCAGAAGGACTTGCACCTCGCAAGGTGTAAATGTGGGATCTTCCTGGTAAGTGCAGGTGGTGGCTGGATAAGGGAGAAGAAAAGAGAGGCCACAGTCCCTGGCAGCCCCCGCTCCCTTACTCTTTGGCAGGGAGGGGTGGGTGGGCAGGGAGGCACTGCCTGTAGATCACCGTCCCTGCAGCTTGCTGAGCACCACACTGGGCACTGACCCGGGGCTCCTTGGGGACTTCGCTTGTCTCCCCTGGACCTGGCACAGAGGACTCACAGGCAAGAACAGGAGATGATTCTCCATGAAGGCGGCAGCGTGGAGACACCTGCAGATGCCACCTCTTTGCCCCAATTCACAAGGAAACCAAAACCACAAACTGGATGATGAAAGGAGTCTCTGCAGAAGGCAGATTTGGCTGAAGTCTCCCCACCCCAAATGTGTTTGCATCTCATGTAACTCCAGAGGGGGAAAGACAGGGGTGTGACAGTGCTCCTGGGCTCAGGAGGGAGGTCTTGTGCCCAAGGGTTTCACTGTAAATCCACACAGCACAGCTCCTGGCCACATGGTAATCCAGTGGTGAGATTAAGCACCATGTGAAATTTCTAATTGTCTTTACAGAAGAATACCCTCCATACTCTATACAATTTTCTGGGTTTTCCTGCAAGAAAAGGAGAAGGCTATCTTACAGGAAAACATGAGAAGCAAATACTGTACACATTCTGTGTCCATCTCTGCTATTTGTGAATTTTACTCTTCCCTTCATCAGGAGGGACAACACGAAGTTTTAGATTTCTTGCAGGTTTCCATGGGCTTATATACTGCTACCCTCACTCTGCACCTTGTAGATTAATATAAAAAAAGGCGAGAAGGACTCCAGAACATTCCTTCTGGCACCCTACGTTAGGGGAAGGGGTTCTGTCCAGCCTCTCATTGGGCCTCACAACCCCAGCTTGCACTGCAGGCAAAGAGCAGGGAAGTGAAACCAGTGTGCACTACTGTGTTGGAGCTTTTCCACAGGGTCCCTCGGGGATTTTCAGTCTCTCTCCACTTCCCTGGCTCTGTCATATCTCTCTGATGCTGGCTGCTATCTCAGTCTTCTCTTTCCCAGATTTCTGCTCAGTGCAGAAGGGGCTGTTTTACCCCAGGGGAGCAGCCAGGCAGGAGCATTTGGGACTCACCTCTCTGTGACTCAGAGCAAGCCCCCAGGGGCCTGCTGAGTGATGCTCCACAGTAAACTTTATGGCACATAGACACTTCCTATGGGATAGGGGAGGTTGGTGTAATCATCTTAAATTGGGCCCACTTGTCCCCTTCTAGAAACTCTTTGTTATCTAGCCAGCAAAATGGCTTTGGGTATTTTTATTACAGCAACCACCTTTACCCTCTGAATCTCATTGCTTTTTTACCTGGGCAAGGATCCTTACTGGCTAACTGCGTGCTGTGGGGCAAAACACACCCCACCCCCACCTGCTCACATGCAAAATAACAACAGATGAAAATGGCACTTGCACCTCTAAAAGGTCCTGGTAACAAGAAAAATTATTGAAACAGAATCTGTTCAACTTCTTACATTGTTTCCCACATCCATCCTCCCTGACTTTTACTTTTTTTAATGTAGTTCCTGAACTCTGCACACAAAAAGAAACTGGCTGGTTTTCTCTTTTCAGGCATTTATCAAAGGTCCTGGAAGATGCAGTTGTTTGTTTAAAAGAACTATCCTGGAGGACTGTCAAAGCCAGACCTCAATCTTTCAACTTTTCAGATAAAGCAGTGTGCTTGGACTGTAAGTACTGGGGAGTCTGACCTTAATTAATTAATTCTTATTTTCTGAAGAAAACAAAAATTAAAGTTTGCAGAACTGCCCTAGGATTACATTGAAAAGACAGCTTTCTTGGGGCCACTCTCTTTTTCAGGCTTTAGTTTTTGCAATTTCTGCTGATGCTAAAGAGGAGAATTACTTGTGAAGAGAAAGACAGCTCATCAGCAGTTTTATAGCACTGTATTTCCCCTCCCCACCTTCTGTTAGTTCATGTTTCTTGTTCTCAGTTCTGCTGGAGACCAAGAAGCACCCTGCTGCTGGTCACAGCCTGTAGATGTAAGGGTGAGGAGAAAAGGAAAAGTTGGTCGGTTCCTGGATGCAAGCCCAGACATGCCAGCTCCAGAGCCCAGAGGGGCAGCCATCAGCCCAGCAAACACCGTGCAGACAGTGAGAGCAGGTTATCACCAAAAGGGTTCACCGCCCTCATTTCCTGTTGGCAGCGTGTTTACTTCAGTTAGGAAGTTATGGGGATTTTATACTTTTGATCAGAAACCGACCAGGGAGCACAGAGTGCAATACCCAGTGCTACCTCTCTCCTGCAGCATCAGCTCCCAGCAGTGCTCAGCCCCCTCCTTCCCCATTGCCAGTTTCCCATTACATGCCAGCCAGCAGCAACTGAGGGGCAAAAAGGGACAGTCCATCACTAATTGGCTCTGCAGACTTCACAAAACAAGACACTTGCTCATGCACTTAACTGGTATACTTTCCAAGCACTCCTCAAATTCCTTTTCCCAAGCTGTTGACAGATATTCTTTGTGGCTTGGTTGTCAAACTGGCCAAGCTTCTCAAGCCAATCAGTCTGTTAATGCCCTGAAGAAGTGAGAGGCCACAGAACGGTATAGATCCCAGACAACATTCTCATTGCAAAGCTAAAGTGTTTCTCCTGGAAGCAACCAAGCCCTAAGCACTTGTTTTCTAACAAAATGCCAGCCTGAGAGATTTCCTGGGGCTGGGCCAGAGCCCACTCCAGAGCCTGGTGCATCACCCCACTTCAGGCTGGGATGTTATTACCCAGGATTTGGGGCCCCTTCTTTTGCATCCAAGTCAGAAGTTTTCCACCCCAGAGAGCCTGCAGGGTTCTCAGCACTTTCTGCTGGTGATGCAGTGAGGTCTTGGTTTCCCCATGCAGCCTGAACTAGACTCAGAATGCTTTCTGATTGTTTTGACGTGGTCAGAAATCTTTACAATAACAATTTTCAGAAAGAAATGTTGAAGTTATATGCATAGATAAATATTTAAGCATTGAGTAGAGAACTGACACCTTGCTTCTACTAATAGATCCTTTTTAGGAGACAGCCTACATTTAATACCCTCAAAACTAAACTGTTCTGAAGTACATACACAAAAATCTTCAGAAAACTATACCAGGAGATTCCTTCTTTGCACCTCTTTGTTTATAGGTTCTGGTATTTAGAGGAAAACCTGTAGCAAACAAAGATATTTCTGTTTACTCAGCTGATGGGCAGCTAAAAAACCACCACAATCTCACACACAAAAATAGCTACATTCCTGTAGACAAAGAAGGCTCAAGGCAAATTGGTTTCTTTAAGCCTAAAATGTAACCCTGGGTGTTTATGAAGAGATATTGGACATTCTGTAACTTATTTGAAGAATAATATAAGATATTCTAATTGAAAAAAACCTCTAATTTTTAGTCTAAAAGTGTAGGTTTGTTTTTTCCTGCAAGCTTTTCATTGCATCTTAGTCTCACGTACAATTTCAAGTGCTTTCACTAGACAAGCTGCCCTTTCTTTCCTTTTCCTTAAGGTGGCTAAGGAATGCAGCTTCTGACAAGTTAGGGAAGTCAAAACTCTGTTTGTGCATGGGTCTTAGACTGAGGATTCCCTCAGGCTTCCCAGAAATTTCAGGTGGCTTTTTTCAAAGCTGAGCAGACCACAGTAGAGTCTATCCACAAGCAACTTGGACAAGAGTTCAGTGCTCCTTTCACACACAGCTTTATATGAGCAAAGATGAAAGCAGCGGAGATATGAGAAGACCCTTTGTGTGGCTTCCAAAATATGAGTAATTTCTGGTATACTAAGAGTGAAAACAAAAATATGCTTGATTTTTATCTGCCTGGTTTCATAGTCTCATTTATGAAAGAGAATATTTCATGCAATTAGTGCAATTCTCTGATTTCATCTGATTTGCAGGGTCTCAGTGCTGAAAACTGAACAAAAAACAATAGGTTAAATTTTCTTCCGTGTCTAAGTTCATAAGAAGATTTACTGGTGTGGTATTTAGTAGATGAATCATTCCCCCAGGGTCTTGCAACAGAGAAATGATGAATGATGCTTCCAATCTTCTATCACCAAAACAAAGTTCCTTTTCACTGTGTGGATTTAGTCCCATGCCTCTGCCACTCTGCCAGCAGTGTTTTCAGAAAAATAATATTCTTCCTGTTTCAGCCAGTGACTTGTAAAACATCTAAGGGCATCATTTCAACTACGTTTCCAAGTCACATATTCAGCCAGAGCTGCTGGGGCGATTCCTTTCCACCTAACTGCTCTCTTAGAACTGGGAACCCAGTACCCAGGCAGAGAAAAATACCAACATGGTACATCTATAAAAAAACCTGTCATACCAAAACAGGAACCTGGACATTTTATGGAGCATGAGGACCCTTTATTATATACACCAATATCTAAAAATATAAAATACACAGTTTAAAAGGGCACTGTCTTAAGGTTCTACATGAGTTAAAACCTTAACCTGAGCTGGCTAATGTCAAGATCAAAGGATCCCAAAGCCAAGAGGTGCAGAATAAATAATCCCATTTGCCTTGCAGAGAGAGGCAGGTTACCCAAAGCTAGTTTTACCCAAATAAGTGGCAAGCAGGAAGGTAGCATTCCCATTTGCCCTCTTTCCATCTGTTAGGAAAAATGATGCCCTGCGTCAACACCAGTGCTGTCCTGGGCTGGACAAGTTGCAGTGACAGGAGGTGGCTGAAGTCAGGGTTGGGTCAGATCAACAACTGCCCAGCCACAGGACAGGCAAAAACCTACACCTTTTGCACTTGTTTTTGCTTTGGGGTGTTGGGTTGTTGTTTGTTTTTTTGTTGTTGGTTTGTTTTTTGGTTTTTGGTTTTTTTTTTTTTTTTGGGGGGGGGTGGCAATATTCGCTCCAAACATTCCTGTAGAGTAAACTTCAAAAATGTGCTCTGCTTCCATTTACTTACAAAGCTAACCTGCTTCATATCACTCATACTGGAGCAGCAAAATAGAGCAGTCCATTCCACTTTAATTTCTTAGCAGTTTTATTTTTACTTCTCAAGGCCTATGAAAAATTTGCAACATTTCATAGCCTAGATACTATTTATTGAAATAATTACTAAGTATCTGTATAAACTCATCTGAAATATAACCTCCAAAGAATTACTACCAAATTGTTAACAGAGATAGCTGGACAGACAAGCACAAGATAATCACAAAGAAACCTCAGAACAGCAGTTAGGATGTTACTCATCTACAGTAAAAACTTCTGATCCCCTCAGTCACGTGCTTGTTTGTTCCCTGAAAGGTGGCTTGTATTTATTTCGTACTCACTTTTTCCAGCTAACAGCCACTTAATGGTATATAGTCTGTATGCTTACGTTCATTCCATCGCTACATGAAGCCAAACTCCACAGCACTAGCATATAGCATTTTATGACACTGCATTTTAGTAGCCGGCTTTGTATGGCATGAAGGCAAATACAGGTATTGGTTTTAAGTGTTTTGCCTTTGAATGTCATTTGCTGTTCTCATTCTGATACTATGAAAGACAAATAGATCGATGACCTCTTCCTTTATTGTAGAGAGTTTTGCTTGTAAGCTACCACGTCCTCCTCTTTCACTCAGTCTCTAGTCATATTGTGCTTGTAAGCAGAAACCTACAACAGCTTTCCACAATTCAACCTTCAGATAAACAGTAAAAGCAACTACAATCCAGCACATAAACAGAGAGTTTCATGACTCCAAACCCTGCTTTCCCCCACTCCAGGTGATCAGCTTGTAGAAAATAATAATAGCTAATCTCTGCAATCCTCCTGGGTTTATAAAGGTTTCTTGACAACTTTGTGCTTTTCTCTCTTCCCTCTGAAAATCATTTTTATTATTCGTGTCTAGACTCCCCGTTTCTGCAAAAAAACTCATTTCTCTTTTTTTTTTTTTTTAAAAAAAAGACCCATTAGTTTAAAAATTAGTGGAAACCTTCATTTAAAATGGAAAAAAAAAAGTCTCCAAAAACCCCTGAAGCACAAGTGCAGACCCTGGTGAGCTGCGAGGGCTGAGACTGCACAGCCTGTTCAGAGGCGTGGCAGAGGCTGTGCTCTGCCCACTCCCTCACATCCTGTTCCCCATGAACAACCCACCCGAGGGAAAAATCTGCTTCTCCCCTGGCCCCTTCCCCACACAGAGGAAGAGGAAATTAAGTGGCAATGAAAGGAAAACTTGGACAAAATGTGGCTTCCTCCTTTGACAATTACGGGGCTCAGGAGAAAAATCCCTGATTGTGACGGTTGCAGCCAGTTCCCCTTTCCCCACGCTCACCAGCTGCACTATTACTAAGCATTAGGGGGTCTAAAACAGCATTTTACAACAAGGACTAGGTTTATTAATTCTCTGTTCACCCACTCACTTTAATTTTAGGTTATTTGGCTTTTTGACTGCAAGTGAGCCTGATTCATCTGGGATGCACACTTGAAATAGATGGGTGAGGAAAAACTAGGTGACATGTGTTTGCTTTAGGAAGACAGAAGAAAAAGAAACAGACTGCACTAGCTGTCTTCATGCTGCCCACAAGACCACCACAGCCAGGTGTACTCATTTCTTCTTGCCTGGATCTACGTGGAAAGATTTCATGGATCATAGGATAAGATTCAGAGAACTACAGGAAAGCTGCTCAGATCTGATCAGCAAGTTATAAACAATTAATTTTAACAATAGGTAGCACTTGTTGCCCTGTGCTGGTGTACATCTGCCTCTGGGCAGCATCTGCCTCCTCACTCCTACCAACCTCCTGCTTCCCACTGCACTCACCTGCCACCACACCATGATGTTACACAAAATCCCCTAGAAAGCCTGCTGTATCTCCAACTGCCCTTTTATTTCCCTACTGCCTCCTGCAGGCAGGTGGGACACCTGGAAACTCAAGGCAGCTGTGGTGCATTAGCAAAATTAAGAAGGGGGCTGGGGAAACCACAGAAAAAGAAGAGGGGGGAAGGAAACCTCCGTATGCCCTTGGCTTTTGCATTACTTTCTAGGAAAGGCTGGTAGAAGTGAGAGTTGGCAACTTCCTTATCCCTAATGACTCCTGGCTTTTGAAGCCTGTTGCTCCTGGCACCTGGGCTGCAAGTTCAGGCTGGATGCAGTCCTGGCCTGATCTCTCATGCCCTTTGGGGAACAGGTTCAACAGCTGAAGCTCACAACAACGTACTAGGCTGCTCCAAGGATGTTCTGCACCCTGGCTTCTAGCAGGGGTCTCCTTTGGCCCACTACCAACACCTCCTGGGCCAGCACCCCTACAAAATCCTGCCTTATTTCAGACCGTTCCCCACCCAGTATTGAGCTTGCTATGTTAAAATATCAGAAAGGAATAAACACGACTATCAAAACCCCAGAAAAAACAAAACATGAGTTTCATTATGCAAGATCACCACAGGCAGTCTTGGGTCTCAAATAAATACTTCACAGCTTTTTTTCTATAAAACACAATATTATAGTGTAACAAAATAAATAAATATGTATTATAAACTGTCCTTTTTTGTATTTCCCTTGGAGTGAGGTCGCAGCAGGTTTGCTTGGAATCCCAAGGTGCCGTTGTAAGAAGTTTCTCTCTTGCACGCGTAGGATGGGCAGCTGCTCAGGTGTTCAGTGGCGTACCAGGGCTGGGGGGCACCGTGGGAGCCCCCCTGCCTGCAGCTCCATACTGCCTGCACTTCATGGCCTTGGTACACACAGGAAGGACCTAACAGAAGAAAACTTGTTGGTTTTTTTTTCCTTCTTCAAAATATATGGATATTTTAAGTGCAGTGGTAAAGACCCAGTCTACATGCATTACCAAATGGGTTCTTGAATCTCTCTGTGTGAGGGAAGACTAAAGTTTTCCCCTTGTGACCCCCCCCAGCAGGCTCCAGCTTGGACCTAGAGGCATGGCACCTGTAGAACAAGACATATATAAGTTTTCCTCTCACTGCTTTTTGTCTCCAAAACACCCATCAGTAAGGTGCATTCTCTGGGCATATCCCATGAGGAGTCTGAGGTGCCTTTAGTATGAAACCAGGCTGCAATTTTCTGAAACAATGCCACCTCATGCAGTTTACCTCCACCTTCAGCTTGCCTCCTTCATCCCCCGTGCCAGGACAACCTTGGTGGACAACCAGCAGCACATCGGCCCCTGCCGCAGTGTGGCGCCCTGGGCGCAGAGGCACTTTTTTCCTCTCAAGACCCCATTTTGTTTGAGACGTGTCCTCAAAGCTGCTTCCTCCATGAGCTGCGCTGGCCGTGCCGGAGAGAGGTTATTTTAGGAGATGCAGAAGGATGGTGCAAGGGTACGGCCACTGCTTACACAACTATTTTGTGCATAAATATAGTAACAGAGCAACACTTTCCCCACAGCATGTCATTGAGAAAGTGAAAGTTTTCTAGCTGTCATCACTGCCGGGTGCCTATGGGCCTGGCTAAGCACCTTCAGGTTTCCCCTTCTGAGCGTGCTGGTACTCGGCTGTCTGGCTGGACACTGATCCCTTCATCCTCCCTGCCTGCCCTGGGTGCAGCCCAGGCTGGGCAGCATGCAGTCAGCTCCACGGTGGCCGGGCAGAGTGAGCACCGCAGCAGCCTGGTAAAACGTGGACCTACCCAGCATCGCCAGGCTGGGTTTCTTTCTGGGTCATGTAGGTGTCTTAGGCAGCGATGGAGGAGGCAGGCAAGAAGGAGGAGGGAAGTTAGGGGGACCAGTACCCCCACTGCAATGGCAACGGCTGGCATCACGCTGATGTCTGAACCTGTGGGGAAAGCAGCAGGTACTCAGTTTGTGCATGAAGAAAATAAAACAACCCTAACCCATTTCAGATATTCCTTGGCCAATCCCTGGGCTGAGATGGGGTGGCTAGGGGCACTGGGAGCACATGCCAGCACAAACTCAAGCAGCACCACCAGCAGACCTGTGTTTGGGGTCTGATGCCACGGTTGGCTGCGTGGCACCCAGCCCTTCTGAGCTACCCAAAGCCGCTCGTCCTCTTGGTGGATCAGGCTACACAACAGGGAAACCCTGCAAGTCCTCAGCAGAGACAGGGAGGATGAGGCACATCATGGCATGCAGCGCACCCAACAAACAGTAAGGTATTGTATGCCATCCCCAAGGGTGTTTGGATGCTCCTTGGCACCTCCTCCATCCATCCTCAGTCCAGCCTTGGCTACTCTTCCAAGGGCCTTCCCCACTTGCCCCCTGACCCTTGGAGGAGTTTCCTGATCTACCCCAGGAGGTGTTTTGCTGTCTCCTCCACACTCCAGGACAGGAGCAGTGTTGCATACTTACCCTGCACCACAGTGTCCATGGGCAGGACCAGGGTCATGTTTAGAGAGGGGTGTTGGATCACACAGGTGATGGGATACTCCTTGAGGATTTTGGAGTGGGAGTGGGTGAAATTGCTGATGACAATCACAGTCTCGTTGCCGAGCTTGATGTGGTACTCCTTTGGTTTCTGCTGGAGGATGCTCGGAAGATGCCAGGTGATTTTTGGAGCTGGTTTCCCTGTTGCTGAGCAGCTCATCTCCACCACTTTCTCAGAGCCCTCAGCTTTGTCTGGACTGGATATAAGCTTAGCTTCCACTTTGGGGTCTGAGATGACTGTAAAACACAAAGTGACAAAATCTGTTACTTTCTGCTCACATTTGAGCAGAGAGCCTCTGTATTTACTACTGTCTTGGAGGACAACCTTGATATCTAATCTTGCTTCCCCCTCCTCAAAGCCCTGGCAGTGACAAGTAAACATGAAAGTGATCAGGCAGCAGCCTGAAATGAAGTGCTTGGCAAAAACAAAGGACAAGAGGGCAGAAGCATTGGTATTTCAATTCTGTTATTAATGGCAGCACTGCAGCATCCCAACTGAGAAGTGGTGGTTATGGATGAATAAAGAGCAACAGGTAGTGAAGCCATGAAACCACGTCTTCCTCTCTCTGGAAGGGCTGAACTGCTTCAACGAGTCTAAATTATTTTCCTTTACATGTATCTGCAGGGTTAGCTTAATTGCTGTTTGATATGTGCAGGGTTGTGGACCAAAGGACTCAATGCATCTATTTATGCAAGACAGTAATAGTGAATTTGTATGTGGTTATACCACAGGATTTCACCTGTGGAGGTTTTGTGCTTGTACAACTTTCTTCCCTCTAGTGTCAGCTTTTGGGGGCACTGTGGTATCCCTCAAAACCTTCATTAAAGATAATTTCTACTGAATTCCTTCTCACCCTAGAAGATTTGTGGATACTGTCACATTTAGTCTTCGTCAGCAAGGATGAACTACAGGCATCACTCATCTGATTCACTCACAGGAAGACTGCTTGTTGATTCCTGTTTATGTGAACTGTATTTTCAAGGAATAAAGAAAGGGGAAGAGTGCAGGAACCTGTTTCCAACCTGGGTAGAACTCCAGGGGAGATCTGAACATATAAGGACATATCTAACTCCTGTGGAAAATCACCTGTTTATTCCTCAACCACAAAATCGTACCATAATTTAGGTCAGAAAGGCCTCTGGAGGTCATCTAGTCCAAGAGCTGCTCGAAGCCAGTCTAATTAGCTTAGTTTGCTCAGGCCAAGATTTGTAAAGGCATTTAGCTCGGTTTCAGGGTGCAATCCACAGGTTTCTATTATAGCAGCTCACCAGCCTGCCTTCTACGTCAGTGCATGGGCCGATGGCTTAGGGGTCCAAACCACACTCTACTTATAGCTGCCTGTTTCTGAGAATATTACTTTTTTTAACCATTTAAATGCAGTGGCAATTCTAGTTTCATTCAAGTCTGAGTTAACATGAATGTTCTTTGATTTAAAAAGTATTAAAAATTATTACTAGATTTAGTAGCACTCTATGTGTATATTACTATGCACACAGCAAAAATAACAATGGTCAGCACAATATTTATGCTGAAATTAATTTTTGTCCCAACACTAGTAAATATATCACTACCATTTAGCAATCCTAATCTCTTTATTCTTCTTAGAAAAAAATATTCTTTTTCCTTTTGGGAGGTAAACAAAGATTTGCATATGAATGGAGTGTGGAAGACACCAAATGATCCTGTTAAAGGTTAAAAAGGCTTGTGCCAGATGCACAATGGTACCTATATCCTCCTGGTACAATACCAGATGCACCTCATGAAGTTGTCTGGATCCTCCAAGCCCTAAGTGCCAGAGGGTGGAAGCAAGACATTGTATAGACGTCATTTATTTACTGTGGTGATGCCTGCCTAGAAAAAAAGAGAGGGTATTTTTCATTTTTGCATCACCCATAGACAGAAACTCAAATCCCACAGGCAGAGTTGACGAAACCCGCTAGTGTTGCTCTGAGAGCAACAGGAAAAGTGTGTGGGGGGATTTCAACTGGAACTTCTCAAAATCTCCCATGTATGAAAAGACAAGTGATACAAACAGTTTATGTTTTGATTAATAAATGACCTCTGAACTTCTTCTTTCACTCACAGGATGCATAAAAATAACATATCCACCTACAGCATTAACTGCAAATATTAGTTTGCAACATCCAACAGCAGTAAAAGAAAGATGTCACTTATGTTTCCAGAAGGGATGAGAAAAATTGTGCAGTGTCTTGTCAGAAACACATGCACTCCACATCTGCTCTTCTTCTGACTAAGAAGTCCTCTCTCTTCTCACATTGGAACCCAAGAAATTATTATCATGTGAAAAAAAGTCCTGTAGGGTTGAGCTTCCCCTCAGCAAGTGTATGTAATAATTACAACCTTTAAGTGCTTGCTTTTACAGTAGTCTTGCTATGCTATTTGCCCACTGTTGATGTTTGATGCATACACTTAAATTAACTGCTTATTCTGTCTTTCATCAAATGATTTGTTTCCAATGAAAAAGTACCTACCTGCAAGAGACGTTGTGCACAAGTACTTGCCTTAGTAGCTCTTGCAAAACAGTAATGCAAATGTTCCCAGATTTGAGCTCTGGCAGTGTTCCAAAGTATTTGAAAAAGGGACTTTCTAGTGAAGTACATCAACTTTGATTATCTGTAATGACCTTCTGTAATTAAAGAGCGGCTGTCAGGTCCTGATAAGCTTATTATGTCTAAAGGCTTGACAGTGGTCTCTGAGAGACTGATAAAAATTTTTAGGAATTACAGTCTGCCTCATGATAACAGAAAGGCTTTTCAACCATATGGTTGTTCACCAGCAATACTGTGCCTCTGTTTCCCTGCCTAAGAAATAGCAGTGGCATTTCTCCACTGTGCTCAGGACTTGCAGGCAAATGGTGACACCTACAATGAAGGCAGAAGGTCTCTGCAGACAGCCCAGTAAATGCCTGGGAAACTTCATGAGCCAGCAGGTCTTGCCCATTCTCGTGTGGCACATCCCCCTCTCTCTGTACCTGCTCACGTGATCCCCTTCCTGTGTTTCATTCTCATCCTCTTTGGCGACAAAGGTCAGCAAAACATTTCCAAAGCAAAATGGAGGGGGAAAGGGAGATGGCTGTTCACAAGAGATTTGCCAAGAACACTTGAAACTATTCTGTTCCAAAATGGGTTTTACTACAGGGTAGGAAATTTCTCCTTCTTCTTGCATTTTCTGTTTTCTGACAGGAAGGTCTGAGATTCCTCCAGTCATACCTGTTTCTTTTCTCAGTGTTGTATCCAGTTCTTATGTGGTTTCACTTCCCCTTGTCACACAGCGACGGTGCCCCTCCTGGAACAGCCCCTCTTGCGAAGCCTCTTGTAATCGGGCAATTACCAGCTTGTGAACTCCCTGGCAGTTCCCTCTTGAGAGCGAAGGCATGGCAGCATTTCATTTTCAGCTAGCAACTCTGGCTTGCTCACCTTGCCCTGAATCCGTGAGCCTAGGGAGATTACTGCTGGCTTCACGCTCCAGTGTGGGGAGTCCTCTGGCCTTGTTCAGCCAAGTTGTTCCCATCATTATGAGTTGGGGAATTAGGGAGTAAGACTGTGGCTTTTAAGTGGCACTGCATAAATTAGAATGAAGTATGCCATATGTGAACCAAAATTCTTCTGTCACAGTGACAAGTACTTAGTTTATTTATGGTGACCCTCTGGGGCATGTTCCACAAAGCACATTTCAGGGATGCCACCGTGACACCCCCTGAGCCAGCCCCCGGCAGTGGCCCACAAGCCCACCTGGTGCAGCAGGAGCAGTGGGCTCACACCTGCCAGCAAGAGAAGTGAAGCTCTTCTCTGTTGATGTATGTTCATCTGAGATGCAGGAAGAGATGCCTGCAGGAGTGTGTGTAGCAGCAGAAAAACATTTTTTTTAAAAGTAATGCTTTGCTAAAGGATGAATCATAGCCACAAGGATGGTGATTTAGGGAAATATTTCCCCCTCTTAAATAAAATAAACCAAAACAACAAAACAAATCTAACTCTGTGGTTAGATTTACATGATAAATGAGAAAGGGATCCCTCTGCGAGGCACTTCCATATTTTCCTGTAATGTACAAAACAGTGTTTACCCTCTGAATGACTCAGGGCTGGGTGTGTTTTTAGGAACTCCTTTGTCTTCATATCTGAAATATTGCGTGAATTTCTCCTAATTTCTCTTTTCTGCTCTAGGAGCTTTCCCAAGAGAGAGGAAAAAGAACTTCTGTTCCTGACTTGGTTTCCCCCTTGGATTTCCCCTCCACCCCCCTTTCCACTATTGCTTAAGTCATCTTTTTTTCCACACAGAGGACTCCTGGCACGTGGGTATGTGTATGGGCATGTATCCGTGTCTTTGTCAGCAGAAGGTACTAGGGATAAACAAAGCACTCTGCAGGGGTCATACCACCAGCAGCAGGTCCCAGACACTGACATTTTCCACATGGGACGTGATCTCCGGCCAACCTCCGTGAAACAGAGTCAACAACGAGAAAGTTGGAAGCCAACAGAGTGTCCTCAGGACATGTTTAGTGTCTCCACTTTCTCACTGGCAGAAAACCAAGACCCTCCATCAAAGGATAAAGAGCTTTTCACTCTTGTTCCTTTTGAGTTCATCTATTCGTATTTCAGCTTGTACTTGCTAGTTGACAGTCTCATATAGAGGTGTCAAATATTGCCACATTGATTCATGATTTGGTTTAACTCTTCTTGAAGCACTGTATTTGCCTCTTTTTTTTTTTTTTTTTTTCATCCCTTCCTTGAGCCCACCCTAACTACTGTAATTTTCACTATAGCTTAAAATGAGCTCGCAGGTACTCTGGTCATGCATATGCACCTCTGCCTCTTGAATACTTTGAATTTTTTTAGGACTGAAGGCAAAGTAAGAAAAAAAGTGCCTAATTTCCAGGCTTGGGGGGCAGGAGCGCAGTGAAAGGAAGCAGAGGAGCACAGGGTTCATGGCTGTGGCAAGCCAACTGTCAGTACAGCCCACGGACAGGGAAACTTGGAGGAAGTCATGGGTTACACATCAGATTTTGGATGTCCCTGCTGATGACTTAAAGGGGAAGAAAATTAAAGAACAGTTGAACACTGGTTTCCCATCAGAGGTAAAAGCAGAGAGGGAGGGATAGCCAGGAAGGAAGCTGAACCACCTTTCCCGCAGCAATTTAGCAATGACCAGTGGACAGGGGAGGTTTTTCCCAGGGAAAATGACTTGGTCCTCAGATGACAGTCTGTATGTGATTATGATGCCTTACCGTAAACCTTGAGACACATCCTGCCGGTGACAGCCCCAGAGGGGAAAGTGTTGAAGATGCACTTGTAGCATCCTTCATCTTGGAGAGTGACTGCACGAAGGGAGATGGCTGAGGCTTGTAACTCACTGTGGGCAAAGCTCACATGGCCAACGTAGCCCTTTGCTATCTTTTTGCCATTCATTGTGCTGTAAGTTGCTATGTTGTCTTCAGCTCCGTCCGTCTCCTTCTGCCAGGTCACCTGTAGCACATCTTCTTTCGTGACCAACCGGCATGAAAAGGTAACGTTTTCTCCTGCCTGGACTGACTGGACCTTTCTGTGCATCACCTGCACGGAGCCTGGGGAGAAGCAGGTGCCGCACTCAGCATTTCTCACCACCCTTCTGCAACCCAACCCCAGCAGAAGCCCCCCAGCACCTCACCCTCACTCCTGAGCAGAGCAGCTGCCCTGAGAAAGATGTGCCCTGAGAGTTTTGCTGGACCTGACACCTCTCACACAAAGCATGTCACTGCATTGCACTACTGAGAAAGGCAGCTCCAGCATTGGGAGCAACTGATTTCTGTCTGCTAAGACCATTATCCCATGGGCATCCATGGACAGGTTCCCTAAATGCTCAGCTGTGCTCATGACCAAACAGCCGCTGGTGCATTACTGCTCTCAGAGCCCTGCTGCAGTGCAGAGAGAAGCAAATCAGTAAAGCTGCTAAAAGTTCTTATGTGTGTCACTATAGGTCGTGCATCCACACTTGTCAGAGACTGACAAGAGAACAGAAAAGCAGAAGGAAAAAGCAAGGTAGGGAGGACCAAAGACAAAATGCCTCTGTGGTTCTACCTCAGGCTCAAGGCCATGCATCTGGGAAGTAGCTGAGACCCCGCTGAAGGCCGACAGATGGAAAACTTTCATAGCATAAACACCACAATATTAAAGCTCCTCAGGTAAAAAGAAAAAAACCACTCTCCTCTTCCAATTCACAGACACATGGAAAAACCATTGAGGGGACAGGCAAGAGAAATGGATCCCCCCAGGTTTGATGGCTCAGCTCCACAGTGCTCTGAGGATAATACTTTAAAAAGTTTAATTGTGTACAGCAACATGGCAAGGGAGATATCAGCAGGGGCAGTTGCAACATTGAAAACATACAATTCAATTTACAAGAAAAGGAAGTATCTTTGCAGGTTTTAAATAGGAGTGATGCTGTCTGCAGTGCCCAGTGGTACACTTGTCTAACCTGCCTGACAAAGTTCGCTCAGATCCTGCCCCCTCTGTGGCTGCGGCTGTGGCTGTAGCCAGGCAGATCTCCGCAGGAGACCAGGAAGCCAGCTGAGAAACTGTACCAGTCATTTTGCTTTCCAAAGCAACAGTAGCGCTAAAGGCAGAAAACAAATCATGACTATGGAAGCTATTTTGAAGCAAACCCAGGCTTTCCTACATTATTTTTATTTACAAAAACAAATGTAACACACCCACACTTTCAATGGCCTGAGAAGATACCTACAAGCACCACATCCATCACTACAAATAGTTCTGTCCTGGCTAAAGCAAATCAGTGCCGTACTCTGATTCAAATCTCAGCCACAACAGGAGACAAAAATCAAACTTCACTCATAGGAGTCATTGGGAGCGTTTGGATGCTTGCCTGGTTTACGATTTACAAATTTTAAATACATCTGTCTGCAGCTTATAAATGCACTGGTGGCACACTAATGAGAGGATGCTGTCAGCGCAACCAGCAGTGACACGTCTGAAGCCCCAAGCAAGCTGTGTAGTGGCATGCACCCCCGCAAGCACCCTGTCACCGTTGGTCTCACCCCAGGGGATAGAGAAGGGGGACACTGCAGCACCAAGCTGTGCAGCAGCAGACTGGCAGGGCCACCAAGGTCCCTAATGCCATTACAATAACAATACAGACAGACAGACAGACGGACAAGAGAGTTACCTGATGCAACAGCCCAGATGCTGGTGAAGAGCAGACAAGCGACCACCATCTCAGCTGTGCGCTCGAGACGAGCAAGCGACTGATCCATTGAGCGCAGCTTCCCCTTTTTTATACACTTCGCTTGTACTCTAGGGACATTCCCCCTCCCTGCAGATACGGTAAGAGGCACCTCGTAAAAACCTCCTGCCCCCCCTGGCACTCAGCTGAACAACAAAAATTTCAGGGGACACGACAACAAATGTCAGAGCCAGAAACTGAAGACTTCCCAGGTAGGCTGCGAGACGGACAGGGGTAATGGGGTTACAAGGCTGGGCTTTCCACAAGTGTCTTTTCCGTAAGGTTAGGTTTTTGTAAGTGCCTAAACACAAGCCCAGACTTCTAAGCTGTCTGAGCACCCAATGTCTGTGGGGGACAGGAGGAAAGGTCACGCTGGCCCTGGCCTGAGCTCAGGGAAAGGAGCTCAGGTCAATAGTCATGCTGCAATGAGTAGTACAAATGTCCCCAACGTGTAACTCAGAGGACCCAGCTAGGGGTCTGCACCCCACGTGTAAATCAGTGGAGACCCAGGAGATGCTGATGTTGCTGTAACAACTCATTTTCCAGGTAAGGAGACAAGAGGAAGCCAAGCATCCAAACCAGGGCCTGTGTCCCATGTTGCCTCAGCAGAAAAGCAGACTCTGTCTCCCCCCTACTCCACTGAGGTTGCCCCTATCTCCTCAGGTCCATGCTCCTTCCCCAGCCCCATCCCTCAGAAAGACAGGGCTGCCGTCCTGCAAGCACAGCCCTTCCTCTCTGCCCTCACCTGAGATGTCATAAAAACACCTCACACAGCTGTTCTGAGTCACTGTTTTTGTGCTTTTCTGCTTTGTCATTTTTACGCCTGTGTTTCTCTTTTTCTGCCAGCTGTGATCACGTTGCCAAAACCCACAAAGCCCTCAGCCCACAGGTCACTCACGCAGTGGGTGGTGGGGCAGCCAGCAGGCCAGGCCTCATTTGCTAATCAAACTTGTGCTGGTAAACTGTGTTTCATGTTTCTGCTTTCTGATTACGTGGCTTTACACCTCTGTGAATTCTTACAAATCCAAATGACTATGATTGGATTAAACATGTTTTCTTTTAGTTGAATGACTGCACAGATTAACCTTGAATCACGCAAACAGGCTGGGGGAAGCCAATGGGCCCAAATCATCAGGCAACAAAAAAATTCTCAGACATGCTTACACATGCATAGTTCCTTCTCTCCTCCCAAGCAGTAATGAATTATCTGAAAACAGAAGCAGCTCAAGTATCAGTATTCCTCTAAAGAAACATTTTGGATGTGCTTTTGAGTAGGTTCAATAATTAATTCTTCTCACTCTTCAAACTGCGACTGCTTCATACTATTATCCTTTTCCTTCGAAGTGTCACATCTCTTTTTCCTTTCCTTGAGTTATTTTCATAGTTGCAATTTTCCTGTAAGGCTTCTAGAAGGGCATTCTGGCCTGATCAAAATGTGAAATCAATGAAAAATGATTCTTTTGGGGCTTGTCAAACCATTTTACAGTTATTAAGCAATGCAAATAACTCCAACAGGCTCTGGACCAAGGCTCGGTACCAAATCAGAGGGAAAACTGCCAGCCTTGAAACAGAGATTCACAGGCAAACATCTAATTTCCAATTGTCAGCCTCTCAGAACTCCCAAAACGGAAAAAAAACATTGAAGCTTTGCTGAAACTACGTCCTTTTGCACCAAAGCCTCCTAGCAGGGTGTTAGTGACCTATGCAAAGATTCATCCAGGCTTTGCTGGTGCCCTCACCTTAGCTCTGCTACAATTTTGAAACAAAAGATTAACAAAAGAACTTCCCACAAGCTTGTAGATACTGTGGATAAGGTCCTTGTAGCTGAACTTCACCACTTAGTGATGACAAAAGGAACTGCACTTGATTTACAAAAGTACTGCAAGCCTAGTTGATGAATTTTTCTGCTCATGGGAAATGCTCTTGTCAGCTTTGACCATTTTATTTCCTGACAGAAACACACTAATCTTCCAAAAGTCCCTCTAAACAACCCTGAAAACTTGAGTGCTGCTACAGCAAACACCGTTCAGTAAAGACCAAACCTTCAGTCTTAGCAATACCCAAGCAAATGATAGAGATGGCTGTTGTGGTTGGAAAAATGTGTTGACTTTAAATTGTTTAGAGCATCCCTTACTTAGTGATAAAGAGTCACCTACACTGGCTGCTCCTTCCAGACTCTGCCTCTCCTCTGACAGCTCCTGGTGCTGCATGGACCTGGGTATGCAGGAACCTCCCTCCCAGCCTACATGCCTGTGTGTCTGCATGTGCAGCTGACTGCTGCAGCATCTCTTTCTGCACTCCCCTCCTGCCCCCTTCCTCCACGGACCAGCCAATGTCAGCAGCTGATTCATTACTTTAAACATAAGGCAGGCAGGAATGTGAGGTCCAGTCATCAATCCCACCACTTATTTCAATTTTGTGAGTGTATCTTGAAGTGCATTCCTGATCTGTTCATCTTTGCGTAGACTTCTAGTGGATTACAGACCTCTTCCTTTCTTGTCAGTCACATCCCCTGCTCTCCTGCTTCAGTTGCACAGCAGCTTCGTTTCTGAGAACTGCACACCATGCCTGAGCTTCAGGCACTTTCCAAAGCCAGTGAAAGCTTGGGAACAAATTAGGCAGAAGACAGTTGTGCAACTACTGCTTGAAAAGCTCAGTGACTCCCATTCTTCCCTTCCTTTCTGCTACACTAGGATGGTCTCTGTAGTTCCCAGTAAATCAAAAAAGGACATACAAGAATGAAGTGCACAGTCACTGAATGACAACGTTTCCACACAGCCCAAGTGACTAATGCTATCAATAAATCACTAGTTGAACTTCTGGAAAATATTGCTGACAAGACCCCCTCAGGCACAACTGTAGTCTAAAATATTGTTTTGTCAACCATCAGTCTAAAACATTGTTTCTTCAACCATCCAAACCCAGATTAACAACTGGTTAGCTGCCTACCCTGTTAGCAGAATTCAGTGTTCCCTCTCAAGGCATTGCCTGTAAAGGGAACAAACAGAGGGAGATGGTTTAGTCTGCTGCTGAACTGTAGTGACTTTTGGAGGGTGGTCCATCAGTACTAGTAGTAGGTACTGCTATTGGGAAGAAGCTTGTTAAATGCAATTGAACAGGCCTGGTACTTTATAACATATTCATAAATAATTCCTGTGTATGGCAAATCCCTCTACATGTAGGCTGGGTTTGGAGAGGTGCAGTACACTGGAGCAGAGACAGTAGCTGCATCTACTGACATACCCTCCAGCCTGTGTCGCTGCATCAGGGCAGGCTGCAGCAGGACTTGCAGTCAGTAGCCAAGGGATGCTGCAGGACCACGTGATGCTCATTTGGGCAGGGTTACAGACAAAGTGTCGTGTTTGTGCACAAGTTTTAGATCACATGGAACAAGAGTAGGTTGTACAGAGCCACAGCTGTTCATCCTTGGTCATGTTTGACTTGGAGATATTTGATCTGTCATCTCTTCCCAAACTGGGCTCTCTCTCTCTGCTAACACACTGCTGTCAGTTGCAGCAGAGGACTTTCAAATTACAGCTGCCAGCACTGAAATCTGTTTGGACTGCCTAGCAAAGTGCAAAAGATAAATGAAGGAGAGGGATACCTTAGCTGAGACTTAACTCATGGTGGTGTACATCTATCTGCAAAACAACGTTACCAAGGGACAGCATGTGTTGTGAAACTGTCCAGTTAACTGCCCGTCACTTCTCACCTCTGTGTTTTGATGAAATTGCTGCAGATACCTGAAGTCTTACAGAGATTTTTTTTCTTTTCCAGCAATGTACCGCAATTACAATATGTGAATTAAAACTTACTTACTCCCTGAACCATCAGCCCTGCAAATTGTATTGCTAGTTCTTCTGTTTTTCTTCTTCCTTGTAGCTCAGGAGGAAGAAAAAGGGATTTAAAAAAAATACAAAAAGGAGAGGAAGAAGTAAAAATAGATTGCATTGGAAAGCTTCAGTAGTAAAGGCTGCGTTTTGTTGGGGTTTGAAGGGTTTGGGTTTTACCATTCAGTGTGTCACACCATTTCTGAGAAGAGCAAGATGGCCAGGCATGTGGTTTCCTCTTCCTGAGAGCACCCCAAGTTGCTTTTTCAGTCGAGGGATTCTAGAGGGAGTCCATGCTGCAACCTGCTAGTCACTTTCTGGAGGTCACCAGCATCAGCACACCCTTGCCAGCCCCAGTACTCCAGGAAGCCACGTCACTTATCCTCTCCCACCGTGACTTGTCAGTGCTCGTCTGCGGTGGAGGCTTTGGGTTTTTGGGTTTTTTTTAGGTGCACAGTATCTGGGTGCTGCATGCATGTATGGTGTGAGAGATAATGAGCCTCTTTGGTCACTGAGTTTCATTCTGTAACACAGACAGTACAGAAAACCATTCAGCCATCAGGAAAACACATCAAAATTGACTATCCAAGGGTGCCAAGATCCAGTGGAAGAATGGGAAACTGCCTGCCGAAAACAAGGTATGTTCAATAATGATTTCTATTTAATTACTAAACAAGAGGGCTAAGAGAGTGGTTTTATAAAAATGATACCTGCAATAAGTCAACCTTAAAGGACCATGTAAGGCACCATGAGAAGCCTCTTGATTAAACAAAGGTATTTTAGCAGGCAAAATAAAATGAACAATATCGTTCTTAGTATGTCAAAGAGTATTGCCTCAGGATGTTTTTCGGGAGGTAACTTCATCTGTAGGCTCTCAGCACTGAGAGCCTGCTGAAGGGAGGAAGGGTGTTACAGGTGTGGAACACAAGGAGCAGAGAGTACTTGCCATCTGTTTCAGGTTTCCAGGCAGGAAAACTTCACTTAGAGGTTCATCTTGTCAGCTTTTAACTGTTGCATCATGTCTTAGAAAGATAACCTTTTATATAGGGTATCTTTATCAAGGAGTGCAGCGGTAGGATGGGGGGTAACAGATTTAAGCTGAAAGAGGGTAGATTTTGATTAGATACTAGGAAGAAATTTTTTTTCCTGTGAGGGTGGTGAG